ATTATAAATATGTTTTTATTTCATTTCTTGATTTTATTAAAATATTATATATTATATACTTTAGATAGTATATATTATATATTGCCATATGATATACTGGCTTTTTGCAAATATTCAAGTAAATACTGTATGTGTAGTATTAAAACAGTTTTTAAATATAGTTTTCTTTAAAAAGAACATAAACTAATAAAAAAAATCTTTATAGTAAATTACTTGCTTAAATTAAATAACACCCAATAAAAACACCTACTATTGATATACCAACTACCAACACCAACCATTTACAAAAATTAAAAACCACAACCCAAATAAAAAAAACCCACAACTAAAAAGCACACATACTCTTTAAAAAAACCTCAAAAAAATAACTATGTAAAACAATTCCTAAAAGATGAAAAATCATTTTAAAAAAGTTTTGAAATATATAAGTCTATTAACATACAACAAACTAAATTTAAAAAAATATTTCCAAAACAAGTATACTCTTAACTAAACACTCAACCATTATAACCTTTTACTTTATTGTTTATCACTTATTCTCTTTTATTAAACTTTTTAAAATAAAAATAAATAAAAATAAACCTCATTTTTCACACTCTGCCTGTGTGACTCCAGGTGAAGGCTGCTCAGTGGGTGACACGAGCAGGAAGATGTGGGGGGGGAATTTTTTGGATTTTTTTTTTGTTTGTTTTTCAATCAGCTCATTGAAATGGGAGGGGCAGAATGTCCCAGGGAGCACCCAGGGGTGCTGATGCTGCAGGGAATGAAATCCCCCAGCCCTTCCAAAAGGAGGAGAACGAGTGGAGTGTTGGATCTCAAAAATCTGGAATTTTTGAGCTTTTTGTGCTCCCAGGCACAGACCCCTTGGAAAACACTGCTCTGGAGCTGGAACCTTGGAGAAGGCTTGGAAATGTGAATAATGAGTAAGGAAATGTGAATAATAAGTTAGAAATCAAAATGTGCAGTGGGTTAGATGTGTGTGTTTTCACTGGGTTGATGGGTTTTAAATTTCAAGTTTTTACAGGGGACAAGCTGAAGAATTTGGGGTGGTGTCTTTTCTTTTGTTCATCTTCTTCTCTTCCTTCTCCTTCACAGAACTCAGGCAGTGACCTGTGG